AAACTTTAGAAAACACCTTGTCAAAAACATGATCTATTTAAAAAATCATAAAATAGACTTGGCTGAAATTAACTTCTGCTCTTCAAAAGATAGTGGTAAAAGAATGAAAATATGAGCTCTAGACTCCAAGAAAATATTAGCAAATCACAGCTGATAGCAATACTCCCCAGGTTGATCTGTCATTTTGATGTAATTCTTATTAAGTCCCAACCGCCTATCTTATGGAAGTTGACAGGTTGATCCTAAAATCCATATAGAAATATAAGGGACCCAGAATAGCTAAACAGTCTTGGAAAAGGAAAACAAAGATAGGAGATTCACTTCCTCATTTCAAAACTTAACTATAAATAACAATATTCAAGATGTGGTAACTGTCATAAAGATAGACATATAAATCAGTGAATTATATTTGAGAGTCCAGAAATAAACTCATACATTTATGCTTGGACAAGGATGCCAAGACAATTTAGTGGGATTTTCAAGAACTGATGCAGGGACAACTGGATATCCATATCCAAAAGAATGAGGTTTGACCCTACCTCCACACCATAGGCAAAAATTAACTCCAAGTGGATGATAGTCCTAAATGTAAGAACTAAAACTATGAAAATCTTAGAGAAAAACATTGGAGTAAATCTTCATGACCTTGGAAAAAACATTGGAGTAAATAAATCTTCATGACCTTGGATTAGGCAGTGGTTTCTTAGATACAGCATCAAAAACAAATGACAAGAAAAGAAGATAGATTGGACTTCATCAAGATTTTGTGCTTCCAAAGACACTTTATCAAGAAAGGGAAAAGACAGCCCACCCAATGGGGGAAAATATTTGCAAATCATGTATCTGGTAAGGGACTTATCAGAAGATATGAAGAACTTATAACTCAACAGTTAAATTAACAGTTAAAACAAATAAGCTAATTTTTAAATTGGCCAAGAATTTGCATAAATATTTCTCCAAATATCTACAAATGGCCAAGCACACATTAAAGATTCTTAACATCACTAATCTTTAGGAGAATGCAAATCAAACTGCAGTGAAACACTACTTCACATCTATTAGGACAGCTGAAATAAAAAAGGCAGACAATAACAAGTGTTGATGAGGATGTGGAGAAATTGGAACCTCATACATTGCTGGTGAGATTGTGAGATTATAAAATGCTGTAGCTGCTTTAGAAAAAAGTTTAGGGTCTATTCAGAATGTTAGACATAGAATTAACACATGACCCAGCAATCTCCTATGTGTATACCCAAAAGAAATGAAAATATATGACCACACAAAACTTATACACAAATGTTCATGACATCATTATACATAATAGCCAGAAAGAGGGAATCACCCAAATGTCTCCCAGCTGATGAACGGACAAGCAAAATATAGTAAATTTATATGATGATATATTGTTAGCAATGAAAATAAATGAAATACTCCCATACACTACAACATAGATTAACCTTGAAAAATCTTACGCCAAGTGAAAAGACCACTCACATATAACTCCATTTATATTAAATCTCCAGAATAGGTAAATTCATAGAAACAGACAAAGTAGATGAGTGGTTTTAGGACTGAGATAAGGGGAGAATGGAGATACTGCTAATGGACATGGCATTTTGGGGGATATGACAAAAATGTTCTAAATTTAAGTGGAATGGTGTTTATAGAACTCTGTGAATATACTGAAAACCACTTGATACACACTGTAAAAAGGTAAATTTTCTGGTATGTGAGTTAAGCCTATACCTACCATGTGATCCATCCATTCCACTTTTATTTACCCAAGAAAAGAAAGTATACTTCCATACAAAGTTTTATACATGGATGTTTATAGAAGATTTATTTGTAACAGTAAAAATCTGAAAATACACAAATGTTTACCAATATGATATACTACTACTCAGCAGTAAGAAGCATTCAACAATATGGATGAATATTAGAATACTTGTACTGAGTAATAATATCTGTAAAAAAAAAAAGCACCCATCGCCAACCTCATACTTAATGGTGAGAAACTGGTAAGTTTCCCACTAAGATCAGGAGCAGGGCAAGGATTGCCACTCCTATTCAGTATTAGACTGGAAGCCCTGAAAAGTGGAATTTGAAATAAAAAACACAGTATCATTTACATTAGCATCTCCAAAACTTAACTAAGGTATAAATGCAACAAAATATGTACTGGGTATTTATGAGGAACATTAAAGAACTGATGAACAAAATCAAATAACCCAAAAAATGGAATCTATTTTTACTTTTAATGAAGTCCAATTCGTGTTCAAAAATAGGAAAGTAAATATTGTCAAGATTTCAGTTCTTCTCATGTGACCCATAGATCGAATGTAAACATAGTCAAAATTCAAGCAAGTTGTTTTGTGGGTATGACAAACTGATTCTAAAGTTTATACAGAAAGGCAAAAGACCTAGAATATCTGACACAATATTGAAGGAAAAGAGCAAAGTCAGAGAACTGACACTACCCAACTTCAAGACTTATTATAAAACTACAGTAATCAAGACAGCATGGTATTGGCAAAAGAAGAGACAGACCAATGGAACAGAATAGAGAGTCCAGAATAGTCCCACATGACTATTATAGTCAACTGATCTTTGACAAAGGAGCAAAGGTAATCAGTACAGTGGAGCAAAGACAGCCTTTTCAACAAATGGTGCTGAAACAACTGGACAGCCACATACAAAAAAAAAGTAATCTAGACCCAGATCTTACACCCTTCACAAAAATTAAAATTGAACACAGACCTAAATGTAAAACCCTAAGCTATAAAACTCATAGAAGATAACATACCAGAAAAACAAGATATAGCAATGACTTTTTAGATACACCACCAAGACATGATTCATGAAAGAAATAATTGATAAACTGGACTTCATTAAAAGTAAAATCCTCTGCTCTGTGAAATAAATTATCAAGAGAATGAAAAGACAAATCTCAGACTGGGAGAAAATATTTGCAAAAGACACATCTGATAAAGGACTGTTACCCAAATATTCAAAGAACATGGGGTGTGGGGTGGGACTTGGTGAAGGGGGGAGCCTAGTAAACATAATGTTCTTCATGTAATTGTAGATTAATGATAACAAAATAAAATTTTTTAAAAGATCACATATAAATAAATAAATCCAAAAAAATACACAAAGAACACTTAAAAACTCAACAGTAAGAAAACAACTTGATTTTAAAATGGGCCAAAGAGCTTAACAGACACCTCACTAGAGAAGATATACAGATGATACAAAAATATATGAAAAGATGTTCCACATCATATGTCATCATAGAAATGCAAATTAAAACATCAGTGAGATACTACTACACACTTACACAAATTAACAAAATTCTGAACACTGACACCATCAAATGCTGGTGAGGATGTGGAGCAACAGGAATTCTCATTCACTGCTTGTGAGAATGCAAAATGGACCAGTCATTTTGTAGAAGACCTCAGTGATTTCTTACAGAACCATTCCTTAGTATTTATCCAAAGGAGTTGAAAACTACTCTCCATGCAGAAACCTGCACATAGATGTTTATTGCAGCTTTATTCATAATTGCCAGAACTTGGAAGTAACCAAGGTGTGCTTCAATAGGTAAATGGACAAATAAACGATGATATAGCTAAGTAATGGAGTATTATTTGGCCCTAAAAGGAAATGAGCTATCAAGCCATGAAAAGACATGGAGGAAACAAATGCATATTGCTAAGGAAAGAAGCCAATCTGAACAGGCTATATCTGTATAATTTCAACTGTATGACGTTCTGAGAAAGGCAAAACTATGAAGAGAGTAAAAAGATCAGTGGTTGAGTGAGTGATGGATGAATAGGGAGAGCACAGAGCCTCTTGTAGGTCAGTGAAACTATTTTGTATGATCCTGTAATGATGGATATAAGTCATTATACATTTGGCCAAACCCGCAGAATGTACAACACCAAGAGAAAACCCTAATGTAAACCATCAACTTTGGGTAATTATGATGTGTTGATGTAACTTTGTCAATTGTTATGAATGTGCCACTATGGGGAAGGATGTGGATAATAGGGAGACTGTCTGTGGGCAGGGTTTATATGTGAGATCTCTGTACCTTCCTTTCTAGTTTGCCATGAACCTAAAACTGCTCTAAAAAAAATAAAGTCTTTTAAAACAAAACAAATTAATTATTGGTACATTAAACAATGTGAGTGAATATCACAATAGTTATGCTAAGTGAAAGCTGGACAAAAAAAAGTATGTTTTCTATTTTTCCACTTAGAGCTGGAAAATGCAAGCCAATCTACAGTGACAGAAAGTGAATCAGTGTTTGCCTGGGGACAGGGGTTGAGGAAGGGCTAGACAGAGGAATTATAGAGGGATATAAGGAAACTTCAGAGTGTGTCCAAATTTATTATCTTGATTGTGGTGATGGTTTCAAGGGTGTATATCGTATCATGGATATATATGTCAAGACTTACCAAAGCATATAGTTTATTATATGTCAATTATAACTTAAAATTGTTTCTAAAAATATTAATTGGTTTATGTAAATATCAAAAAAAAAAACAGCCCCCAGTAGTTAGTCTGTATGGTGGAAATACAAACCAATATACTGAAATGCTCCATGAAGAGACACTGGGATATAATCGTTTAACAGGATGGCTTCTGAAAAGAAAATTATGATTACTTGGAAGGTTAGGGAGTTGGAAAAGATAGGAAGAGAAAGCATTTAAGTAAGGACCATTTGAGATACTCTTGTCCTTTTCTAACTGGTGTGAATCAATATTTGACACTTCAATAGAAAGAAATTTTTCACCTTTGTCTTACTTTTTAGTGTTTCTTTTGCATGAAACCTGTCCTAAATACTAGGGAATAATTCAAGGTGGTTGCTCCTGGCCCATCTGTAGCCAATTTGAGTCCAAAGTGTAACTTTTTCAGGTTCCATCTCTTAACATCCTTACCAAAAATGCCATTTACTCTTAGCCTGCCTAATCCCTGTGGCTTGTTCTCCTCAGTCCTATACACCTCCAAGCAACGAGTTCAAGATCAGCATGAAATTGGAAGCACAGGACCCCAGGAACACCACATCCACTTGTATTGCCACAGTAGTTGGACTGACAGGTGCTCGCCTCCGCCTTCGCCTTGATGGCAGTGACAACAAGAATGACTTCTGGCGGCTGGTTGACTCAGCTGAAATTCAGCCCGTTGGGAACTGTGAGAAGAATGGGGGTATGCTGCAGCCCCCTCTGGGTGAGTAATAACAGATCCAAGCTCTCCTTAGCCAATTAGTTATCTTCCAGAAATTGTATGTCTGTTTATGGGAAAGCCTAGGGTCCCTTGTCTATCCTTCTTTGTCACATGGTCCAAAAGAAAAGGCCCACCCAATGTGAAATAAGCTATAAAATCTGTACATCTTAATCTCTGCATTAACTTACAATATCCAAACTTCTCTCATGCTTTCCTTTTTCTAACAGGAAGCCACACCCTTCACCCTTCTTTGTCAATTCCCATTACCCTGAGAGGAGGTCTTGCCATTTAACCTGCCTCAAAAAGTCATAGAATTTTTACCAAATCCCATAATGATAATAAGAGATGAGAGAAAAATCTCCCAGTAGAAAGGAGTTTTGTTAAAAGTAACTCCTTTCTGCTAAATCCTCACTTGGTCCTTGTAATTTTCTCACCTTGAATCATTTATTAGGTAAAATTCTTTATTTTAATTAAACTAATGACCCCACTAGTTTTTTCTCCTCAAGATCCGATTCACTTCTTGTTTTTTGCCTCACTATGCCTGAGAGATTTAACCTATCTCATCAGTCACTATGAATCGCTATTGCAGTGAGTCTTGATGAAGGATAGAGAAAGATGGGTTATGGGCTGTAAGCTATGTTCCCATTAGAAGGCTGTGCTAGATTAATTGAGTATTAGAGGATATGTGTCATTTGAAAAAACTGCAGGTGGTTATTTAACATTTCCCTCCACTAAAAAAAATTACTTGTAATATAAAATTTCAAATATATTACAGAAGTAGAAAGAATAATACAGTGAATGTGCATGTATCCTTTATCCTTGATAACTGTCAGCACATAATCAATCTTGTTTTATTTGTACCTATACACACTTCCTGAAAGAGTTGCCCCCTCCTGCACAATTGCAAACATAGCATCATTTTATCATTAAATATTTAGTATCTCTCCCTTAAACAGTATTTTAAAAACATAATCATAATAACATTATTACATATAAATAAACTAATGATAATTCCTTAATATCAACAAATATTTACCCAGTGTTTAAATTTTTCCCTATTATCTGTCTGTCCATCTCTCTTTATTACAGTTTCTTTGAATCAGGATCCAAATAATACCTACATATTGCTGTTGGTAGATATATCCTTTAAGTCTCTTTTAATCTATGAGTTCTCCTTCTCTCTAATTTTTTTCTCACAATTTGTTTGTTGAAAAACCTGTCATTGGTCTTTGAAATTTCCCACAATTAGATTTTGCTTGATTGTATCATTTAGCATGTTTCTCTGTCCTCTTTTTCCTAGAAATTGCTTTATCAGCTTTATCAGGTTCAGCTTCAATTTTTTCAAAAGAATATTTCATAGGTGGTGGTGTTTCCTTTTATAAGGGAACATATATGGTCTAGTTGCCTCTTGTTTTATAATATAGCAGTCATTACAGCTTGTGGTCTAGATCACGAGTTGACAGATTTTCTTTAAAGGTCAGATAGTAAATACTTCATGTTTATGGGCCGTAAATATGAAATAAGGGTCACATAGTAAATATTTCATGTTTATGGGCCGTACATTCTCTGTTGCAGCTAGTCAACTTTGTCCTTACAATGCAAAAGACAATCCAATCAGCAAGTCTGTATTCCAGTAAAACTTCATTTACAAAAACAGCTGACCAGCCTGCTGGCTATAGGTTTCTGACATGTAATTTAGTTCCATCAATTTGTTATGGTTGCAAAATGGGAAATTTTGATTTATCATTCCATCCACATAAATTAAATGGAATATGTGTATTAAAATAAACTTCCATCAACTATTTGATTATCCTGAGGCATAGTTCATGCTGGAAAGATAATTTAAATGCTTGATTCTTTTCTTTACTTACTAATTTTCAAACTAATAAATTGGTTTACTAGCATACTCCAAAAAATTTAAAGAGCTGTTGTTTAGTATCATAAACTCAAGGATTCATACATATTTGGTGTGTTTCAGTCCATTGCACTAATTGTCCTTACTGATTCTTGAATTGTCCCATCTTTGGCCTCATAGGAGCCTCATCAGGTTGTTTCCTCAGTTATTTGATAACTCTCTTGGATTTTTGAAATTTCAAAATATTTCAGGCTCATCTTGTACATCTCCTCACCCAAGTATGGAATTAACTTTTAGGTACCTGGGTTCCTTTTAGTGGAAAATGGTATTTAGAGACCATAATCTGAACACTTGAGTGCTCAGTGTTACTGGGTTGGTCATTCTTTCTGGGTCATTTTGATATAGAGAGATAGAAACTGCCTTTTTTGTTATTATCATTATTATTGTTATTTGTTATTAGATAAAAAATAATTAGTTTTTGATACTTCCTACCAAAATTCAGGACAGTGATGTTTTTGCTTACTTCATCTTTACTGTCTTAAAGTTGTATCTCCTTTGTATAATAATAAAACCCATGTTCTCCATGTCACTAACAAAACTACTCATTTGCTTTATTCTACAATATACATATAACAGTCTCAGAATAACAATACCAACACTACCACCATTATAATTACAGAGAGTGAGTTATTTGCATTTCTCTTTTTCTTACCCTCCGAAGGAATTGCAGTCAATAAAGTATAATAAGGCCATTTGGATTAGTTTCTCTCTGGGTGACAGAGCCACCAACAAAACTTAGGTCCATTTATTTCACTTTATTTTTGACTTTTAGATATTGCTTTTTAAATTCTTTCCTTTATAAATATAAAAGTGATATACATCATTCTTCAAGTCAAATCTGTAAAATATATTCAGAGAAATTCCCTTCACCTTATTCCTTTCTTCTCTCATAGGTAACCATTTCTTTTAATTTTATACTTAATTTTTAAAAATACAAATATGTATATGTACATATATCTGTATGTGTCTCCTACTTTCATAGATAAATGATAGCATACTATACATATGATTGTCAACCTTGCTTTTTTCATTTACTGACATATCCTAAGGATTACTTCTTAGCAGTGTAGAGATATTTCCTTATTTTTTTTGTACCTGCATGATACTGTTATTCTCAACTTACTATATAAATCACTGTTTAGAATCCTCCCAGGGATAATGGTAACCATCTAAATGAAAATCTTTCCATAAATTCTCTTAAGTTTACAGATCATAAAGGAAAGCAAATTAAACCACCATAACTTATGCTTAAAAATAACTAGGGGTCAATAATACCATAAATTTCAATTACATGTTGTCTACATGTTCAGATATAAAAATCTGAAACCACTAGAGCTAGTACCTGATACCTTAATGAAGAATTTTGCATACATAGAAACTGCATTGAAAAGTGAGTGAGCAATGGGGGCCTAACAGCCATTGCTAACAGCCCCAGAAAAATGTATATGTAGCCAGAGTGGGAAATGCTGAGAACAGGTCTAATAACTACTGGATTAGAGCATTGGCTACTGGGAATCAGAAGAAGAGTGAATTGAAAGTGTGAGGAAATAGAGATAGCAATCTTGGGAAAATAAATAATCTTTGAAGGAGAGGTAGACATAATGCTGAAGGAAAAGAAGGAAGCAGGGTGATTGAGTAATAAGAGTTATACAGAAACAAAAGAGAATCATAACATCATAAAGTATACCAATCTTCCCATCCCATCCCAAACAGGATCTTCTATTAAAGAAACTACATTTCAATATCCCAACAAAAAACTTACGACCCAAGGCCCCTGCCAAAATAGAACCTCCTGCTTTTGCTGATCTAGGAAAATATAAGACATTTTAAGTGATTAGGAAGCAGCAGTCAGCATCGATAAAATCTTCTATATGAATAAAAAGCCTGTTATGAAGGTAAAACCATTTTAACTACTGAACATTCTGCTAAAATCAGTGAATAACCAGAGTAAAACTATTGTACAATAACTCAACTTGAACTAAACTAATATTAACAGATACGAAAAATACCTTAAATCATACATTTTTAAAGTCAGACTAGAAAATCACAACAGAAGATGTGAAAATAGAGATATCCAAACTCAAGAAAAAAATTGAACACAAAATAATCTCAGTTCAGGGTGCTCAATAAAACAATAGAGTCAACCAAAAGTACATTAAGGGACATTGAAAAGAGAAATTAAAAACAGCCAAGAGAATAAAAATAAATATTAGAAAAGGTTAAAAACGTATCAGAAAGGAACTGTTGGATACAGAACAAAGTCAACAGAGATCCAATGTGTTTTATGTATATGTAAGTATGCATGTATGATTGGAGTCCCTGAAGAAGATAAACAAAACAATGAACATAGTACTTAAAATTGTAATACAAGAACATTTTCCAAAAATTGAAGACCTGAACCTATGTATTGGAAGGTCTTACCTTATTCATGGGAAAGATTGGTCATCTGTAAGACATATTTTGATAAAACTATTACATTCTAAGAATAAAGAAGAATACCTTCAAGCCTCCAAGCAAAAAGTCTAAATTATTTACAAGGGAAAGAAAGTCAGGTTTACATTATACTTCTCAACAGCAAAGTGCAAAGCAAGATAAAGTAGAGCAATGTTTTGAAGAAATTCAAGGAAAAAAAATGAGAATAAGGGTTTTCTGACTAGACAAGCTATTTTTCAAGTATTGAGATTATACTGAGACATTTTTTGGCAGCAAGAACTCAGGAACTACTGTAATCCCAAAGCCTTCCTGAGGAATCAATTGTAGAAAGAGCTTCATCCAAGCAAGGGATGGTAACTCTAAGACAGAAACAAAGGTAGGGACAAGAACAGAATAGTATGGTATCAGTCTGGGTCAAGTGAAGAAAGAATATTCACACAGGAATTTGATTGAACACAGACAATTTAATAACAGAGGATTGGAATAATGAGGGATTGGCTTATCTAAAGGAAAGAGAATTCTAAAGAATATAAGAATAACAGATATAAGGAGATACCACTCCTCTAGGGCTGAGGTAGAGTATACAAGGAAAAGCCTCTGCTTCCCATCCTCAAAGATGAGATGTGCACCTTGTTGGGGACACAGCTGTGGCCCA